GGACTTGTATACCTGTGGACTTGTATACCTGAGGACTTGTATACCTGTGGACCAAACGAGGACTGTGCACACAGCTCACGGCCTGCTTGTTTGCTTGTGTTGGTAAATCGACAGCAGCACTGTTGTACCTGCATTAAACCACTGCAGTCCTTTTTGATCCCATAATGAACTGTCGTGTTCGTATTGTTGCCATTTCTGCTGCAGTCTTTGCAAAATCTCTCTTGAAAATACATTTTTCATGTAAATGACACTTCACTGAAAAAAAGAAAGAACAGAAAAGTTTGTACCTTATGACAGAAAAGTCTTTTTTACCGGAAAACACCAGTTACAGGCGTGTAGTGGACAAACCAGTGAAATAAGCCATCTCTGTTAGCGTCTCTCACAGTAAAGACGATCATATATTTAAATGCTGAGTGTCCCATCAGTACTTGATCGCACACCGCCGCTTTAGAAAAACCCTGCCATGTTATCGTCGCAACGGCCTGTAGGGGGGGCTGCAGACACGTCGTTGAAAACGACGTTTTGAAAACGCGCCGGTTTGTCGGCCGGATTTCCCGTTACATGGTTAATATTTCGTAAACATGCTGAGGGGCGTACAAACACCAGCCAGAGTTAAAGCGGCGCCAGTGTCGGCTTGTTTCGGGCAGTTCGGCGGCTTCACAACTAACGTGAACTTTGCACTGTTGTTGCTGCAGCGTTGGACCGACTTACCTTAATCTGGGCCTCTAACACGGTGCCGTGACCGGCTACCAGCAGGATACAGATCATCGTAGCCAGTCCCGGGGCTCCTCTGGACCCTTTAAACACTGAGCGTGTGTGTAGGAAACGTCTACGCTTTGTGCTTAAACATTAGTGTCCACAAACACGCCCACTTCCGAGCGGGGCCTTCAAAATAAAAGCTTTAGAAAGGAAATGGCTTTTCTAAAGTCTTTTAACCAGTTCATAAGCTTTATTAATCACAGCTGAGAGCGGCTCGTGACATGTAGCATAATATTTGTTTTTATTATAAAGACATACATAACCTACCTACTATGCAATGCCCCCCCCCCCTCCAATTTATTTAGTTAGTTACATTGTTGCAATGTAATAAATGTCCCCAGTGAGGCTTCATGACACATTAAAAATACAAAGAGTCAGACTCTTGGATAACAACTCATAGCATCGACTGATCAAAGTGATAAACAATGTGAACGTATGAGTGTGTGTGAGACACAGAAAGGAAAGAAAAGTGAGCTTACTGTACTGGAGGCTGACGATAATGAACATAATGTTTGTGCAGGGAGGCGTTAAATGAGGGCTTCGCTAAATCAATATGATGATTGTACTGTAGATAAAAGAATGCTGTAAAAAGCTCGGATGTCATTTAGCAAAGAAGTTGGATTTGAATATTCACAATATTCACTTCTTTCCCCTGTTTCATGCACACTGATCACAAATGAAGTATCTCCAAAGCATTTCAAGTACTCCTTTGGCCCACGTGTTTGATGACTGCAGGGTTCTCACTGAGGCTCTGTGCTGGACGATCCCACGATGCCGTGCTGTCGCAAGAGGTTCCTCAGGATCTGATTCTTGGACTTCCAGTCTTCCACCTGAGTCAGTACACAGCAGAAATGCAGCAGGCATGAATAAACGGCTCACTTTTGCATCGGGAATACAACACCATGACTGTATTTTGATAGGCGTTACAGTGGAAACTAATAACTCATGAGAAAATGGCGCAGTAATTAGATGTATATCTTCTTAAAGCCTTTCAGAAAGTGCAGCCTGCCATCTGTGGGACACGTTTGATCAAATGAAGTATTATTACAGTTGGAAGCAGTCCTGGTTCAAACTTCAGGTGGATGTTACAAAGCAGCTAAAGTTACTGGGGCGCTGGGCAGCTTGAAGCAGACACACCTCCTGTCTCAGTAGCTGGTTGTCAACTCTTAGACGATCCAGAACGCCAACGTCCTCGCCAAGCTTCAGGTTGCTCTGTCGCAGCTCCTTTATGTACTCGCAGGCTTTGGACAAGATCCCCCCTTTACTCTGAAACAGGACAATAAAGCTTCAGCCTCTACTCAAATGGGCTGGAAGCCACCGTGCACCTGAACGCTCACCTGTCCCGTCTTGGTGTAGTCGACGTTACAGTCTGGAATGGCCTTCGACAGCTGCACGATCCAGTTGTTGATCTTGTCCCGGCGCCTCCGCTCAACTGTCGGTGACACATTTCGCTTATTTACTCTGTCACAACAGCCAATCAAGCTCCCGCTGCATGTCTGCGCTCACCTTCGTTGTGCTGGGCTCGCCGTTTCTCATCTCTGGAGGCTCGTGGAGCGTCCTGCTTCCTAGAAAACACGTTACAACAAAGATACTGAGCTGCTTCAGCTAACTGGGAGGTTAAATATCAAGTGCTCTAATTCTGGAGACGTGAGATGGAATTACGCAATGTACGGCTGAGTTCGAGGTGCAATCGTCCTTTGATTGGACCCCGTCAAAACCTCCTGTGGTGACATCATCACATAAAGCTGTCCTGTAAATCAATAAAGCCAGATTCAGAGGACCGGTGTAACCAGATTCATGCTTATCAATCAGAAAACGATGTGACTGCTGCAGACGGCTGTGTCTGGTTATCTTTGCTCCCTGGAAGTTTCACGTGTGCTGGACGACAAAATGCTGATTGTTCAACTTTGGGGAAGTTAATGAAGTCATAGGTGAAGACCAGTGGACTGGTATCGCTCAGCAGGAAATGAAAGTCCGCCGTGTCGCTCACTGCCTCTGCATATGCAGCGCTCTGAAACAGTTCTCGCCTCTTCATGATTTATTCTGTTTGTGTACATTAGACAAAGATAACCAGAGTAAATACAAGAAGCAGTTTCTAAAGGATGATGTCATTTATGAAGAGAAACGTCTATCCAGACCTGTTTGCTCAGCACTGTTTTGTTTCCCACACCGGCCGTTTTTGCCCACTCTCTTTTTTATTGTTCAATCATGAACTTTGACCTTAACTGAGACAAGTGAGGCCTGCAGTTGTTCAGGTGGATTTCTGGGTCTTTTGTGAGCTCCTGGATGAGTCACTCCTGGGGTGATCTGAAGAGCCAGCATCTCCTGGGAAGCATAGCTTTCTCCGTCCATGGATGATGGCTCTCAGTGTGCACAGGAAGGCGTTATGAAGACATTTCTAAGGATTTCCCAAATCCTTAGAAATGTCTTCATAACTCCTCCCTGACTGACAGACGTCAGTGACTTTGTTTCTCAGCTTTGTTTCTTTAGATTGTGGCACCATGTGCTGCTCACTTTGTTCGATAGTTGGACTGAGCAGGTCTGACTGTGGTTGATTGGTGATGACAGAGAGGGGCGAATGGTCTGGATATCGTTTTTTCCAATAAACAATTAAATCATCTTTTTTTTTACTTTGGTTATCTTTGCCCAATATAAAAATTAGTTTAATGATCCGAAACATTTCCGTGTGACAAAGATGCAAAAACTAAAATTGGTGAGGGGACAAATTCATGTTCCACAGCGCTGTACGCAGACCAGTCGACCGCCTACCACTGGGGGGTAGTGCATGAATAAATCGCACTAAGACAATGATGTAATCATGAACCAGTGGTCATGATGGGACAGAGAGGTCTGAAAATCAAACGTGTGCTAAAAATCGTGAGAATGTGGCCAGTAGATTTAAATAAATGATTTGGATTTTTCTACTTTGTGCTTGCACACGAGAAACATTTTATAATGGATGAGACGAAGAACGTGACCTCTTCAGCCGTCTGACTCGTGGACGTCTTACACAAACTTACTGAGAGCAGTGACAGTGTATTTTTGAAGAGCACACAAACATCCAGGCCTGATGGATACGCAGTGATTACCTGTGGGCGTGGTCTGGCCCAGAAGCGTGTCAGACGCCTGCACGGTGGTTACCATGGTACCAGTGGTGGCATCTGCGATGGTGGCAGGGTAGTAAGTGTACTGTGTCTCAGCGCTGCCATCTCCCTCCAACGCCTCTGACTGTGAGAAGACGGCCTGAACAGTGAAGACAGTAAATATGACTGAATAATGTCCACGTCCACAGACTGACTCACGCCCACAGACTGACTCACGCCCACAGACAGACTCACGCCCACAGACTGACTCACG